TGTCTCCCATCTTACTCAGGCATTTGATGGACATCTAGGGACCTGTAAGGTCTCAAAAATTAGATTGAAGTCTTTCTTGAGGTGTGAAATGGGAGCTAAGTGGCCCCAGGAACGAACCATATAACAGTTGGGCTAGAGTCTTGGCGCAACATATCAGAATATTGAAACTGATGTTAGTAAGATATGACTATATTGACAGAGTAATATACTATACAAACAGTTTATTCTCATTCCTATGAAAAACTGATTTTTTGCAGAACAGTGTATATTTACACAAATATAATTGCATACCAGTTAGGCATCTAACCTTCTCTATTTTCTGTTTACTTTGTATTTGACAGGTATAAGATGAAGGAGGAGAAGCATAAAACCAAGATTTTTAACCAGCATACTATCTTCCAGAATCATTAGTCACTTATCTTAAAAATAATTACATTCAGCAAGATTTTTACAAATGCCTTTTTCATGGTTTTTATGCAGCTGCTCACAGTGAATTATGAACATTGAAAAAACTTGGTTGTGAGATCAGATGCATTCCCAGGAATGCATCATAGCTAGCATTTATTCCAATTAAGAATTAAACCCAAGATGAAATCCAAAATCATTTTAAAATCCATTTGGATATCTAAGTATACATCTTTGCTTTGTTGCAATAATTCCTGGCAACTTTGACTGGTCTACTTTCTACAAGCTCTAATTTTCTACATTGTTTCTATGTTCTATATGCTATAATCCACTTGTTGTAATATCCGAAATAAATGAAACTGTAGGCACATAACATAAATCTGTAAGTCTTACAACTATTAGAAGTTCCAGACATTCAAATACCAAACCTAACGCAAAAATATAGGAGCATTATAGCCTATAAAGGCAGATAATATATCTCTACAACATTTCATTTAAGAATGTTAGTAGAACTTAAAAAATTTAAAAGCTTTCTTGAAAATTCATGAAAAAATAAGAATATAAGGTGAAAACCATTATTTGGCTCTAAGCACGTTAGACATACCAAAAATCACTACAAAATATTCTCAACTTATTGAAGTCACTATAAAGTCCATTGTTGTTTGATGAAATGAAGCCTTGATGCTTCAATGAGAGGTCTCCTTCGTGGATTGTTTGGTTGGTGATTCTCAAAAGTATTTATCCTTTAGGTGTTTCTATCTTTAATATAAGTAATTAGTCATCTTATCTGGTTTTCCTTAGAGGTAGAGGATGGCTTGGGTTGCCACTTCTATACAAATCTCCATAGATTTAGAAAAAGTCTCGGCACAGATTTTTTTTTAATGTAATGTGTTTTGTCTTTGAATGGAGAAGGCAGGGGATCATAGCCTCTGTGAATGGCAAAGCCAGTGGATCAGTAGACCTGCCAATGGCAGTCTCTGGTACTCTGAAATCTATATTAACATTGATAGATGGCACAATTGTATTTTTTTTATATATTGTATTATTGTATATATATCACATACTGTATATATACACACAGTACAGTGGTGCCCCGCATAGCGAGCGCCCCGTTTAACGATGAATCTGCATAGTGATGTGGATTTTGCGATCGCAAAAGCGATCGTATTGTGATGTTCTAAATGGGCGAAAATCGCATTGCGATGATCGGTAAGTGTTTCGCTTTCCGATCTTCACATTGCGATGTTTTAAAAACAGCTGATCGGCGGTTCCAAAATGGCTGCCAGGCAAACAAAATGGCCACCCGCAGCATTTTCTCACAGTTTCCTCACTTACTAGGCAGCGAAAATGGCGGCTGGATGGAGGATTTCCGCATAGCGGTGAGTTTTCCCCCATAGGAACGCATTAAACCCATTTTAATGCGTTCCTATGGGGTTTTTTGCCCCGCATAGCGAGGAATCTGGATAGCGACTTTTTTTTGGAATGGATTAACGTCGCTATGCAGGGCACCACTGTATATGAACTATCCATTTAATCCAGTTGCTCTTATATGATATAACATAAATATTTTATTCATTTTGTGTCAGTTTTCAAGAGAAAGCATAAATAGTGAAGTATCATGAGGAGAAAAGAAAAAAAATATGTTCACTTTTAAAATGTTACTTAAGTTGTTCTTAAATGAATAGTTCATATACTGTATATATACACACATATATACAGTGTGTGTGCATGTGTGTGTGTACATACATACATACATACATACATACATACATACATACATACATACATACATACATACATACTGTATATATACTGTATATATACTGTATATATACTGTATATATACTGTATGAACTATTCATTTAAGAACAACTTAAGTAACATTTTAAAACTGAACATTCACACTCATTTTTTTTCTTTTCCCTCATGTTACTTCACTGTTTATGCTTTCTCTTGAAAACTGCCACACAATGAATAAAATATTTCTGTCATATCTTATCAGTAACTTTGTTTTTGGACCTGACTGGAACAGTGACTTGTTTTGAAAAGCAGTGGATCTTTATGAAAACAAAGAAGTTGTGCCATTTTTTTAAAAGCAGTTTCTTTTTTAAGGCAACACGATTGCACTCCTCATGACCATTTCCTTAACACCTTAAACTGATGAGGTTTCAGACCTCTGCATGGTGGTTTAAGCTTCTTCATGCATGCAAGTGTAAATTGGTAACTGGTTTCTGGCCAATAAAATCCTAAATGCTTTACTATATTATCCAGCACAGTGGATTGGCTGGATCAGAACACTATGATGGGAAATTGCAAACCATGAAGGACTTCCTGTTAGCTGACTCAGGGATGAGTTCTGGGAAAAGCCATTTTAATGGCAAACTATTTGCTTAACAGGCTATGGTCATCAGCTGTAGACCAGACCCTGTAACATATGTTATACAACAAAAAGCCTTATTTGAGTCATTTAAAAATGTTTGGTTGCAGTGGATGGGTAAATACTGTATCCCAAAGGCATTATGGAAAAATGGAGGGAGAACAGCCAGAAAGATGAAGTTTATGGGTTATGATTAGAGATGGGGACGAATATAAAACGGATCAGTTTTCCTGATGAATAGAGACGATTTGTCATATATTCATTGATCCGTATTTGTAAAATTTTAAATCAGGTTGAATATGGCTTGAGGAATACAGTATTTCCTCAGTTTTATTCGTTGATCTATTCATATTTGTCTATATTTGTTACCCCATTTGGGGGCCTCTCTGAGCTTGCTGGCACCAATTAGAAGCTCTGGCTAATCAGGACAGAGATCCTGGATTGGCATGTCCGGCAGCCAATAGCGCTGCTGAAAGTTATATCTATTTTTATAGGTGCTTCATATAAGCTTTTCCCATCTGGCCGTTCCCCACTTCTGCTCGTGCTCTCTGGAGTGAGAACAGTTGTTGCTCGCTGGCTTGCTGGTGCTCTTGCGGTTTCGCTTTTGCAGCAGCAAAGCAAAGACTTATATTTTTCTTTTTCATCCTCATGCATCAATCATCATCAACTTTACTAGGAATATGAGGAGGGATTTCAGGTAGCTTAGGCTACTTCTTTGGAAGGGCTTAATTTC